GGGGGGGTCTTTTCTTTCCAGAGGCTCCTCCCGCCCCCACAAGACTCCGTCGCCTGCTCGGTTCGCAGGGAGAGGGACCCCTTCTCCCAGCCGTGTTCCGGGGGGCTGGGACCCCTCAGGGCCCGGAGGGGTGCGCTGGGCTGATGCGGGATAAGCGGGGTGCAGGGTCCAACTCCCCCCAAAAAAGTGTGGGGATCTCGTGGCTCGTGGTGGGGAGCGGGGAGCGGAGCCGTCATCCCCCTTCCCGAGGTGCTGCAACTCCGGGCATTAATTATGCAAACCCCCGGCATCCTTCTACCCCCCTTCTCCCATCCCCCGCTCTGCTCCCGGGAGACGTTTCCACCCTGACTTATCCCAGCGGGACCCATGCGTGTTCCCAGAGCACCCATGGGGATGGGGGTGCCCTCAGCCGGCCCCGCTGTCCCCCTTTATTCCCTCTCCCTCCCCACACCTGATGGCAGGAGCGGGAGTTGACAACGCTGGGCTCGAACGTCTGTTCCTGCGCCTGCCGCGATAAAAATAACTTAAAATTACAAACCTGCCTGAAACCCTTGCGAACAAAGTCCTACTTTCCCATTGGCTCCCGGCAGGTCTCTAAATGCTGGAGGGGGGGCCCAGCGGCGTGCCCACCCCCCTCCCGTAGCCATGGCAATGGGGCCGCAGCATCCCCGCTTCCTGCCTTATGCCACCAGTTGCCCCCTTGGCTTTTGCTGGGAAAAAAAGAGAAGGGACTTTCCCATCAGCCAAGCACGGTTTTTAGGGGACCCTAAAAGCTGGGGGGCTGGCGCTGGTCACCCCGAAGGGAGGTGGTGTGGTGGGAAGCGCTGCCGGCAGGGATGTCTTGTGCTTGGTAGGTCCCTGCCTGGAAAGACCCCTGGGGAGCAGACCCAGGGGATTGCCAGCCCTCAGCGAGCCCTGGGAGGAGGGTTTGCCCCCTGAGAGCCTGGAAACACATCCAGGGTGGGAAATGGCTCCCGGCTCTTTCCCGGGATGGTGCAAACGCGGGCGTGGGACGCGGCGAGGTGCAGGCAGGGCCCGGCCGCGGCTCGTCAGTCGCAGCCTCCCTCGCCGACAGTCAGCGCTGTAAATTAGTGATGAGCGCGTGTGGGGGAAGAGCAGCTCCACAAACACCCGAGTGACTCACCGCCCTCACCGGGGCCATGAGAGCGGGGGGTCCTGGGGGTGGTCTGGGGGGACAAGGGTGTGATGCTACTCAGGTAACCCCGACCAGGCTGTGCTGCCGCCTCGTTGCATTTAAACATCGGCCAAAAGATCCCAGGATCCCAAATCCCAGCCCAAGGGCTGGGGGATGTATCCCTGCACTGTGGGTGATGGGGTGAGCCCTGTGTGTCCCAGGCTGGGAGCTGTGGGGTGTCCCCTCTCTGGAGAGCTGGTGACGCTGCAAACACTCCACTGGGATGGGTGTGTGGGTGGGTTTGGTGCTGTGGGATGTACCTTCATCAGAATTCCCCCTCCATGGAGCTGAGGGTCCAACCTCAACTCCAGAGCCAGGGGGACAGATGCTGGCCCTGCCCTCATCCCTTTTCCCTGGATTTGGCAGGAGAGTGTGGCGAGCTGAGGTCCTGTGAGACATGTACGGCTGTCACCCCCTCACACAACACCACCGGCTGCGTCTGGGTGGGCTGCGGGACCCCTGAGGAGCCAGGTGAGGGGCTCAGCTGGGGGGAACAAGGAGGGGCTCCCACCAGCCTTCTCCAGCCCCTGTCACTGGGCTGGGGCAGTGCTGGGATGGTGCCAGCACTCAGCACCCTCAGGTGCCCCGTCCCAGCTGCTTTCCGTGGTCAAGGTCCATCTCAGCTGACCCATCCAGAGGGAAGGGGGGGATCTGTGCCAGTCCAGTGGGCAGGGGTGTAGGTTTTGGTGTGTGCTGCTCCCCGCCATGCTGGGATAACACTGGGAACCCTCTGTCATGTGCACATGGAGTAGCTCTGAGCGATGGAAAAGGAAGAAAACCAGCTGTTCATAAAGCCCCTATTTGGGGCTCTTCCCTGAGGGGGTGCAGATACGAACCCCAACTCGCAGCCCCTTGGAGGGGTGAATGTCCAGCCTTGGGAATGAGTCCTCATCATCCCAAACCCTCTGGTGCTCAGGGCAGCCCAGGGCCCAAACACCATCGGCTGCAGTGGGTGCTGGATTGGGATCCTTGGGAAAACCCTGTTCCCTCTTCCCGTAGAAACAGGGAGCTGTGTGCAGAGAGGGGCAGCAACACGGGAGACCTGTGCACTTTACAACACCAGCACCCTGTGCCGAGGTAACCCCAGACCCCCATAGACCCCCTGGCCCAGCAGCCTTTGGGACAGAGGTGCTGCTCTGGGTGCTGGGGCCATGGGGAAGAAATCCCACCCCTGGGACAGGGGTATGGGGTGGGGGGGTGTGTCAGTGTCCCCTCACACCCCTTCTTCCCCCTTCCCTCTGTCCCTGCCCTCTCCAGCTCTGAAGTCCCCCACAGAAGAGCCTCCACGGTCCCACAGCAAGGAGCCAGTGACACACTCCACAAGTGAGTGGGTCTGGGGGATGGGAGGTGGTGGAATGGGGGTCCTGGATGCCCCAGGGATCAGTGACCAGTCCCAACAAGACAATTCCCTCCATATTTCACACCCCTTTGGGAGGGATGTGCCTCAGGGTTGCATCAGTGGACTGTGCCCCAGGGGGTGCCACCGGTGTCCTGGGTCGGAGCTCTGTCTCCGTCCCCCCTCTCTGCCCTGGACAGTGCTTGGATGGAGCTGAGGGGGTCATGGCACCCCACAGCCCCCCAGGAACCATCCCTGAT